TTTCTTTTCTTTTCTTTTTTCTTTTCTCGTCTCTTCTCTTTTTCTTTCTTTCTTTCTTTCTTTCTTTCTTTCTTTCTTTCTTTCTTTCTTTTTTTCTTTATGTATCTATCAATTATCTATCTATCTATCTATCATCTATCTATCTATCTTAGTCATATATGGATGTAGATGTATATCTTCATTCTCAATTGCCTTTGGTCTATTTTTTCAATACTTTCATCAGTACCACACTGGTTTAGTTACCATAGCTTAGCAGTGAGTCTTGATATTTGGTAAAGGAAGGATGTCTTCCCATCTTGTTCTCTTTTAGGGTGTCTTGGCAGTTTCCAGTAAGGGTAATAAGAGACACAAACAGAACCATCTGTGTAGTATTCTTTCTTTAAAAAAAAAATCTGAATCAAATTGAACCTCTAATTCTAACCATTGGCATATGGAATGTATGGAGAAATATTTGTGATAACATGAATAAAACTGAAGGGCATTATGCTAAATGAAATAAGCCAGAGAAAGACAAATACTTCCTGTTATCACTTACGTATAGAATCTAGGAGGGGGGGAAATAAAAAGCTGAATTCATAGAAATAGGGAGTAGAATGATGGTGGTTGCTTGAGGTTGGAAGGTGGGGAAAGTGAGGAGAGGTTGGGTTAAAGGGTACAAACTTTCAGTTATAAGATGAATAGGGTCTGAGGATTTGATAGTGCCCTATTGCATACTTGAAATTTGCTGCGGGTAGAACTCACAGGTCCTCACCAAAACAAACAGAGTTAGGTTGATGGATGTGCGAATTCATCGTGGAAATCCTTTCACAATGAACACATATCAGTTCACCACGTACACTTTAAATATGTTACAACTTTTTTCTCAATCATATCTCAATGAAGCTGAAAAAAAGTTGAATTTGTTACTATTATCTGATCAAGATCCCCCACTTTCACACCTAATTTTGAATAATCATGGTTCATTGATTGCAACCACCCTGTAGAAAAATAAAACATCTTATTGTATTTTATGATGTCAAGTGCAGAATGGACTGTAGGTGATATGCTGAAAGCAAACTAGAGAGACATTTTCAAGATGTATTTCAGGCTTTTCTTTTCCAAACTGAAGTACTTCCTTTACTTCCCTGCCACTACAATTTTTTTTTCATTTATCAGAAAATACCCTCATTTCCAAGTGCCCAATTAAAACCGAGAGGAGTGGGAAACTTTAGTTATTTGTCTTGTGGTCTGGATCCATCAGAAGTCACTCTTTGTTTTTGCGGAAACTTATTATTATTGGAAAGAAAACCTCATATCAGGTAAACGTTGTCAGAGATCTCCACACTTCCAGATACACTAGCATCAAACCGGCCTTGAGAGCCTAGCTTCACTTCTCTCTCCTATACAGCTACATTTCTTTACAGTCGCACCTATTAGTACTGTAATTAAAAATATATATATATATATTTACATATATATAATATATATACATATATATATAATTTTTTTTTTTTTTTTTAGAGAGAGAACGAGTGGGGGAGACAGGCAGAGAGACTGAGGGGGTGGGAGGAGGGAGAAAGAAAGAATGTTAAGTAGGCTTCACGCTCAGCGCAGAGCCGCAGAGCCGCAGAGCCAGAAGCTGGGCTCAATCCCAAGACCCTGAGATCATGACCTGAGCCAAAATCAAGAGTTGGAGGCTCAACCCATTGAGCCACCCACAGGCGTTCCTAATGAAGGTTTTTTTTTAAACAAGTAAAGAAGGAAAAGAAAAAGAAAAGAAAGGTCAAACGCTAATAGCACCTGAGAACGGACTTAACTGCAACTGTTATACATTTAAGGGGGGAAAAAGTGGCAACCTTTAGAGCCGCATTACGGAGGATTCTGGGAAGCGTAGTCCAGGCCTGGGGGAGTCACAGCCACTGCCACGGAAAGAAGCTATAAGCCCTTTGTACCGCAGGGGGTTCTGGGAAGAGTAGTCGAGGGACGGTGGCCGACAGGGCACTTCCGCCCTGGGAGGGCGAAGCCGCCTTCATCGGTACCTTGTGGGAGGTGAGTCGGTGCAGAGACCCTGCGTCTCTGCCAAGCTTGCCCGGGCGCAGAGCCCGCAAGTGCCGCCCTGTCGCTCGGGGAATAGAAGAGGCATAGAAGCCGCTGAGGGCCGGGGCGGCGGGGTGTGTCACCTTGGCGTTGCGGGCGGGCGGGGGTCGCGACCTCGGTTTCTCTCGCCTCCCCCACTCCTACACGCTCTGCCGCCTTCTAGCGACATTTCGTGGACTTGTTTACTTTCTCCATTTGTCCTCTGTAAAGTGGAATTAAGGGTAGTACCTTCCTAGTAGGCACTAGTGTAGTGGGGTTTACGTGAAGTAAGTAGATGTAAGAATGCTTGAAAGCGATCCTGGCACAGGGACGGTGGCCGGTTGTTACCAATCTACGATTTCTTTCCAAGAAGCGCTGGGTTCCTGGAAGCTTGTGAGCCCGGGGTGAGTTCAGCGCTGCAGCGTCGCCGGCCCTTCTCTGACGCCTGCGCGAAGCAGGGCCTTTAGGATTCCTCTTGACTTTTCACTACCCCACCCCACCCCCTTTTTAAAAGAAGGGCTGGCCTCACTCCCAGCTCGGGCCTGTGATTGTCCTCCGTGATTTATCCTGGACCAGAGACAAAATTGTGATCTCTCCCAGCCTCCTTTCCTGTCTCTGCCCCAAGTTCTCAGAGGGTGCAGAGGAGAAGTGACCCCAGCGTCCTGCTAACTGGATGAGCGGACCTAGGCCGGCTGACTCCATTTTGTTCTGTGTCCTCCATCTTGAGTGACTATGTCCCCGACATGGCCCCCTTTCTGGGAGAACCACAGAAAGAAATTCCCGCTCAAACCTCAGACCACGCCTACTCCCCTGGAGTAACTTCCTGCTCACCCATTCAAACTTCCCGTTCAAATCACACATGGCAACCTGTGCAACGGGACTATGACCCTTCCCCAGCCTCGGCTAAGGCCATGACCATCACCCCACCAACTGCCACTAGATCCCTATAAAACCTTTGTGCTTTTGAAACTCGCTGTCTCTCCGGCATCTCACCGCTGTGTCAGTGCAGGTAGGGGATTGAGCTCGAGCTAGCTCAAATAAAGGCTCTTTGCTTTTGTATTGGACTCGGCTCCCTGGTGGTTTTTGGGGAATCACGAATTCTGGGCATAACATTTGGGGGCTCGTCCAGGATCCCCAAGACCCCCGAGGGACCCCCGACCCGGAGAGCCTGACTGGCCATGGTTAGTGTCTGTTCGTTCCGTCTCTTCTGTGTGAGCTCATTTCTGAAATTCTGGTAGTGCCTGGCACGGTCTAAGTAGATGCACTGGAGGACCACGGGCCGGGAGTTCTGGAAGACATCCGATCCTCCCTTCTGGAGGGACGTGGATTCCCCTCAAAGGTCTGAGACGAGGCAGGTCGCTCCCGCCGGTCAGTGTGAGGCCGTCGTCTAGCTTTCAGCTTTGCTTCCATGGAGTTGGAAGACTGTTTCTAGGGGCCCTCTGTCTGTTTCTGTGTTTCTCTGTTTTGTTCTGTGGACTTACTGGATGGATGTTATGGGACAGACTCAGACTACTCCTCTAAGTATTATGATTGATCACTTTAAGGATGTCAGGGGAAGAGCTAACAACCTCAGTGTGGAAGTCCGAAAGGGTCAGTGGCAGGTTTTTTGTTCTAGCGAGTGGCCAGCTTTCAATGTCAGATGGCTGCCAGAGAGAACCTTCGACCTCCCTACCATCCACCGAGTCAGGGGTATCATCTCTCGGCCTAAGACGGGCCATCCTGATCAGCTCCCTTACATTACCACTTGGCAGGACCTTGTAGAAGACCCACCCTCTTGGCTTAAGCCCTTCCTAACCCCACGCCCTCTGGAGCCGAAACCCATTTTTGCTTTGCAGGGGACAGAGAAGAAGGAGAACAAGAAAAGTCTTATCCAGCCTTCAGCACCCCTCTACCCTGTCCTACAAGGGGGGACTGAAGAAGAATGAATTTTTCCTCCCCCGTATAACCCCCCCTAGGATGCCAGAAGAACACCATCCGCCTCCCCCTCCGGGGGAGGCAGACGCTGTTCTGAGAGCGGGAGGCGGAAACGCTCCAGTGGGAAGCCCGCCCTTTACCAGACAAAGGACTCAGAGGGAGCAATCCGCCTCTTCCGCTGACTCTACTATTCTGCCCCTGTGAGCCACCGGACCCACAGACGCGGAGGGGAATCAGCCCCATCACTATTGGCCTTTCGCCACTAGTGACCTCTACAATTGGAAAGCTCAGAATCCTAAGTTTTCTGAGAAACCGGCAGGGCTTATTGATTTATTAGTCTCTGTTCTTTTTACCCATCAGCCCACATGGGACGATTGCCGGCAGGTTTTGCAGGTCCTCCTCATGACTGAGGAAAGAGAAAGAATCCTCAATAAGGCCTGAAAACTAGTTCCGGGCGCAGACGGGAATCCCACCACCAACCAGGCTCAGATAGATGCCTCCTTCCCCTTAACTTGGCCCGAGTGGGATTTCAACATGGCAGAAGGCAAGGAGAGGCTCTGGGTCTACTGCCAGACTCTAATGGGGGGTCTCCGAATGGCTGCTAGGAAGCCAACCAATTTGGCCAAGGTGGGAAATGTGCAACAGGAAAAAGATGAATCTCCGGCTGCCTTTTTAGAACGGATCATGGAGGCATTCCGTACCTATACCCCCATGGATCCAGAGGCTCCGGAAAGCAAGGCAGCTGTTATCATGGCCTTTGTAAACCAGTTGGCCATAGACATTAGGAAAAAATTACAGAAAATAGATAGACTAGGAGAAAAAAGTCTGCAGGACTTACTGGTGGTAGCCGAAAAGGTATATAATAACCAGGAGCCTCCTGAGGACAAGCAGGCTCACCAGCAGTAAGCAGACTCGAGACCTGGCCAGAATACTACTAGCTACCACTGCTGACTCCCCCAAGGAACGAGACCACTGTCTCTGGCAGCTGGCAGACGACTCAAAAGGAGGTAAAGGAACCACCAAGGGGGGAAGCAGAGGCTGCAGAAAAATCAGTGCGCATACTGCAAGGAGATGGGGCATTGGGCCCAAGATTGTCCGAAAAAGGCCAGCGGGAAGGGAAGCAAGACTGATCAAGTAAAAGTCTTAGAGCTAGATGAGCTGAGTGATTAGGGGAGTCGGGGTTCGGACCCTCTTCCCGAGCCCAGGGTAACTCTTAAAGTGTAGAAGACCCCTGTTGACTTCCTTGTTGACACTGGAACGTAACATTCGGTCCTCTGCACCCCACAAGGAAAACTAGCCAGCAAGAAGTCCTAGGTACAAGGGGCGACTGGTATGAGCCAGTATTCGTGGACTACCCGAAGAATGGTAGATTTGGGGATGGGCTGGGTATCCCACTCCTTCATGGTAATACCAGAATGCCCCTATCCGCTGTTAGGACGGGACTTACCAAGATTGGAGCTCAGATAACTTTCAGACAAGGGGGGCCTCAGGTCACCGATGGCAAGGGCCACCCCATCCAGGTCCTGACCATGAAACTAGAGGATGAATACCGCCTCCACTAGGAGGCTCTCCTGAGAGAGGATAATATAGACAGATGGCTACAAGAATTCCCCTCGGTTTGGGCAGAGACTGGGGGATAGGACTAGCCACTCATAGGACCCCAGTCCTGGTAGAGCTCAAGCCAGGGGAAGGTCCGGTAAGGATCAAACAATACCCCATGTCTCAGAAAGCCCGGAAGGGGATCCAGCCACACATCCGGAGACTACGAAGCCTAGGGGTACTAGTTCTTGCCAGTCTGCCTGGAACACCCCCCTACTGCCGGTCAAAAAGCCTCACACAAATGACTATCGACTGGTACAAGACCTCCGGAAAGTAAATAAGAGGGTCACGGACATACACCCAACTGTTCCCAACCCATATACTCTCTTGAGTTCCTTGGCGCCCTCCAGGGCCTGGTATACTGTACTAGATTTAAAGGAAGCCTTCTTCAGTCTGCCGCTGGCACCCCAAAGCCAACCCTTGTTCACCTTCAAGTGGCATGATCCGGAGGAGTGCTACAGCGGACAACTCACCTGGACACGGATGCCTCAGGGGTTCAAAAATTCTCCCACCATCTTCGACGAGGCACTACACGAGGACCTGGGTGAGTACAGAAAGGAGTACCCTGGCCTCACCCTTCTACAGTACGTAGATGACATCCTGATTGCTGCCAAGATGGCCGAGGACTGTGAGCGAGGGACCCAGGACCTGCTGGCTACCCTGGGGGCCTTGGGGTACCGGGCATCCACGAAAAAGGCTAAGATATGCAGGGAGAGGGTAAGTTATCTGGGATACATCCTGGAGGGTGGACAGCGGCGGTTATCAGATGCCAGAAAAGAAACTGTCAAGGGAATTCCTAGGATCGGCCGTCTACTGCCGCCTCTGGGTTCCGGGTTTTACTGAGATTGCCAGGCCCCTATATGAAGCTACCAAAGAGGGGAAAACATTTGAATGGACTGAAAAAGAAGAAACTGCCTTTAATCAGTTAAAAAAGGCCCTCCTAGGTGCCTCAGCCCTGGGCCTGCCAGACATTACAAAGCCCTTCCACCTCTTTGTAGATGAACACAAGGGAATAGCAAAAGGGGTTCTAACTCAAGCCTTAGGCCCCTGGAACCGCCCCGTGGCTTACCTGTCTAAAAAGCTAGACCCAGTGGCTGCCGGCTGGCTGCCATGCCTAAGAATTATTGCGGCGACAGCACTCCTAGTCAAGGACGCAGACAAACTGATCCTAGGACAGGAGATCTGGATCATGACCCCCACACACCATTGAAGGGGTCCTGAAACAGCCTCCTGATAGATAGATAAGCAACACACATTTGACTCATTACCAGAGCCTCCTACTCAACCCTCCACGGGTGCAGTTCCGCCCCAGTGCGGCCCTCAATCCTGCAACCCTGCTGCCTGACCCTGACCTAGATGCTCTACTACATGACTGTGCAGGGATCCTGGAGCAAGTACATGGATTCCAGACGGATCTGACCAACCGGCCCCTCCCCGATGCTGAGGCTACTTGGCTCACTGATGGCAGCAGCCTTGTGTGGGATGGACACAGGTATGCGGGTGCAGGGGTGGTCACTGAAATGGACACCGTATGGGCAGAGGCTCTACCCTCTGGAACGTCAGCCCAATGAGCAGAGCTCGTCGCCCTCACCAAGGCGCTGATGCTGGGAGCTGGTAAACGACTTAACATCTACACAGACAGCTGTTATGCGTTTGCCACAGCTCATATTCATGGGGCAATTTATCAGGAGAGGGGGTTACTGACGGCAGAAGGACTGACTATAAAAAATAAGCAGGAGATACTTGACCTGCTTACAGCCCTATGGCTTCCTGCCAAGCTGGCCATTATCCACTGCCAAGGGCACTAGAAAACTGATAACCCAGTAGCTAGAGGTAATCAAAAGGCTGACCAGGCAGCCAAGGCAGTAGCCCTTACTTCAGTCCCCACCATGACCATACAACTACCGGACCCGGGAGACCCAGTTTTACCAGACCAGCCTAAATACTCCCAGGAGGAGTTACAGCAGATCAAGAAACTCCCCATGGCCCAGGAGATAAAGGGATGGTGGTATACACCTAACAAGGAGCTCGTGCTGCCAGACTGGCTCAGAGTCTCAGTATTAGAGCACATGCATTGGCCTACTCACATGGGGGCCCGAAAATTAAAAGACTTAATCCGACATGCCGGAATCAAGATTCACCAACAGGACACCAAAATAGAGCAAGTTGTATCTGCCTGCAAGACCTGCCAACTCACCATTGCGAGGGCCACATCAAATAAAAAAGGAACCAGGCTCAGAGGCACCAGACCGGGAGCCCAATGGGAAGTTGACTTCACTGAAGTCAAACCAGGAAAGTATGGTTATAAATATCTTTTAGTATTTACAGACACCTTTTCTGGCTGGGTGGAGGCATACCCAACCAAGCATGAAATGGCTCAGATGGTGGCTAAGAAGCTACTAGAAGACATCTTACCCAGGTATGGTTTTTGTGCCATGATAGGGTCAGACAATGGACCAGCTTTTATCTCGCAGGTAACACAGGCAGTAGCCAAGGCGGTGGGGGCAAACTGGAAATTACATTCTGCTTAGAGGCCCCAGAGCTCAGGACA